TGTGGCTTCAGTTTTTTTTGAAAATTAAATCGGAGAAATAACAGTCGCCGACGGTAACAGAAAAAGAAACAAATGATCGAGACTGGAAGATACCTTATCGGCGCCGCCGGAGCTAGCGGATTCGGTTCTAAATCCACCGCCGAACAAGTAACCGAGAATTGCGATCTTCGTTCCACAACAGCTGTAATCACCGGTGAGTTTATTTTATTTCCTCTGTTTCGAGTTTTTCCGGTGAATCGAATCGTTTCGAATTTTCTCACTTATTTTTGATTTTGTGGTGGTAAAAGGAGCGACGTCGGGAATCGGAGCGGAAACGGCGAGAGTGTTAGCGAAAAGAGGAGCGAGGTTGATATTTCCGGCGAGAAACGTGAAATCTGCGGAGGAAGCTAAAGCGAAGATCGTCTCTGAGCTTCCGATGAGTGAGATCGTCGTTATGGAGCTTGATCTTAGTTCGATTTCTTCCGTACGGAGATTCGTTTCCGATTTCGAATCTCTCGATCTACCTCTTAATCTTCTCATGTAAGTCCAAAATTAATTCGAAATTTCAAAAAATTGAGATTTTACCTTATTTTTGGTTAATCTGCTCAAAATTAATCTATATGCATGTATACGTGCGGGTTTATATATAAACAGAAGTTATTAAATCTCAGTTTTTTTTTTTAATTTTAATCGGATTTTGTTTTATATATAAAATGTGGAATCAGAAACAACGCAGGGAAGTTAGCACATGAACATGCAATATCCGAAGACGGGATCGAGATGACATTTGCAACTAATTATCTTGGTGCATATTTTCTCTTAATTATCTATTTATGACAGATCTTAATCACCCAATTACAGTATATATATACTAATATTATTATGTTTATAGCCTTCTTAATTAGTAGTATAAAAATTTATTCTTTTTTTTCTGTCAGGCCATTTTCTCTTGACTAATCTGTTGCTAAAGAAGATGATTGAAACGGCAGAGGAAACAGGAATCCAAGGTAGGATCGTTAACGTTACGTCGGGGATTCACGGTTGGTTTTCCGGGGACATGATCGAGTATCTCCGGCTTATTTCTCAACCCAAGTGGTAAGATTTCTTTTGTTTTTGGTTTTCTGTTTTATCTTAATGGTTATACCGTACACACCAGTGGAACAGACATAACGTATTTTTTGGTACGTTATGTTTGTTTCGTTGCATACCGTAGTAATTGTTATTGGGACATTTCAGAAACTCAAATTTCAGAATGTAAATATGCAAACATGTAGTAATAGGTGTCTAGTAGTAAAAGAGTCTAGAACAATAAATGAAAAGAGTAGGACTGGTGTTCTCTTGAGATGGATGAAAAAATGTTAAAGAGGAAATTTACTTTTCACGAAAGCAAAAAAAGCTGCGTAGTTGTTGATGTTTTGACTGCTGAGTGGACAGTAGTAAGTCGATAGGGTTTGGGTAATAAATGGGAAAATGAAGTAAAGAGTTTTGACCTTTTGGAAATGTAATAA